AACACCAATAGAGAAACAACAGCTACTGTGTCCTGTTCCATTTCAAATATGAAATTGTTTCCTGACTGACAGAGAAGATGATCTGAAACTACTCACAGAGCATTCCCTGGAGAGCTTCGAAAGACCTATCAACAGAAAATTTAAACTACAACATTGTGCTCACAGACACAGGTCACAGAGTCTACCAAAGACTTATGGAGGAGGTCCATGTTTTAACAGGGGCTTTTCAACACCACCATAGAGTGTACCTGTCCCAATGGGCAGGCTGGCTGTTTTTAAAGTAGATATGATATCAGTTGCTACTGATGAACTATCGCCAGTTTTAACTGACAATAGTGCTTTTTTTACTTATAGAGGTGCTGTTATGTACATGTGCGGGAAACTCTGTTTAAAATGTATACATTAAAGCACAAACATGCTAATTTGCTCCTCAGAGGAGAACAAATGATCCAGAGTTCTTAGTTCCCATAATGTGGTAAGATCTACTTCTCCACTTCAGGTAATATTCCAACAAACTCAAATTATTTTAGAGAAAAGGGCAAAGAAATTCTAGATAATATATGTAGACATAGTTTATCTGTGTTGTCACTTTTGTTACATAACTAAAAAAATATACAATCTGTATCTAAAACATCCACTATATTGCAAAAATCCAATAAAATGAGAATAAGTTGCTTTTTGAAAATGAATTTGAAAGGCACCTACGCTATATAACCTTTACCTTTAATCTTCCCACATAAATTAATCTCAAATGAGTCTTTACTCTTTGTTATAGTCATGACCTCATATACATATAAACTTTCCAGATGTTTACTATTGGTTTAAGAAGTACTTACTAGACACCAGACACTGTGTCATGTTCCGGAGTCACAAGCCCCTGATTCATGGAGTTCCAGTCACACAGAGTAGAACTTTCAAGCCCCCTTTCCACAATGTGTCTCTGGGAGTTCTAATGTGTTCATTAGAATATCATGATACATCATCTTCATAAACAACCCAGTAGAGGCGTGTTAAACATGTCCAAAAGGGAAGTAAAAGCCACAGCTGCATACTGTGTGCATGGTATTAAGGTGTGGCTATCACTACAATAAGGCCTATCTAGACAGGCACCCCTAACTGGTTGAAACTACTATGATACCTGGTCAATGCTACCACACCACCTAGCTTTTCTCTGATATTGAAACTACGTATCAAATTTTGTTCCTTGACCCTCCTGGGATAAGCCTTTTTGTCTTGATTTAGTGACCAGGGCTTCTAACATTCAAGCACCACCCAGTAGACTTTTCTCTAAGTCTGGAACATTAATTAACTGTGAGTTTTAAGATTTAATTCACCTCAAGCCAAAAGTTAACTGTAGCTTAAGAAAGACAAACACAGAACAGGCCATCTAATGTCACCTCTTCTTTTTAAAGGAGAAGAAAATGGAATCTGGAGAGGTTCACAGATGTGTCCAAGGTCACCCAAGCAAATGACAGAAGCTCTGTTAGAATTTCTGCTTGATAATACTTACAGGAAACTGCTGTAGGAAATTACCATGGAACTCTGAGTGAGAAAAATTGCCTTTAATGACAAACATAAGTAACTCAGATGCACTTAATCAAGCTCTTAGTTAAAACTATGCTTTATTAAAAAGTAAGAAGAAAGGCAAGCCAGAGCTGAAAACTGATAAATCACGTCTGAGATACAGCCTCCATGCAGACTAATTCAGCTACAATCAATTTTAGGAGCCTTTTCCAATTACATTTTTTTAGTTCTAGAATTATCTCACATAGAATTGTTATTCAAAGATCAATTTATAATTCAAGATTGAATTATTATTCAAAATTAATTTGTTACTAGATATCGAATTATGATTCAATATTCAAAATTAGTGGGGATAAGGCACCAAAATCTTTTTGATTTACAGAGATTTCTGTAGTAATAGGTTTGGGTCAAAGAACAGTGCTTTAAAACAAGAAGTGAAATTTTCATTTTAATTTCCTCTCCCATTTTGCCCTCTTTTCCTCTTTCTACCAAGTTACAAAGGTTAGAGTTCTCATCTCAGTTATATTTTCAGATTCAAAATTCCAAATAGTTTGTATCATTGCTAGTAAATCTAACAACTTCTTTAGCATTCCTCTATCTCTAAGTGTAAAATAGCGTTTAGAGAAATGGATGATAAATTCATTACACTTCAAACACTAGTGGCGTTTGAAAATTAAGGGATTAAGGAATGTTCTAACCAATTCACTTGCCAGGTGAAATGCATCTATAAACCCCAAGGAAGAAAGACAGAGTTTCTCTGGGCTTTCATCAATACTGAGTGTTAAGGGTAAAAGACACATGTATTTACAGAACAATATATACATAAAATAAAGAGATCAGGTTTAAATATAATAAAGACGGGCTGGCAAGATGGACCAATAGGTGTGTGCAGCCAAGCCTGACAACCCAAGTTCAATCCTCAGCAACCACATGGTAGAAGGAGAGAACAACACCCACAAGTTGTCACCTGACTTCCACAAATGCACAGGGGCACACACATACATGCACACATATAAATAAATCAATATTTAAAGAAATAATAGATTGACATGGTTATTCCTCAAACAGCATGTACCTGTGGTTTCTATTAAAGTGGTTAAATGAAAATATATATTTAAATGTTTTAAAGGTCTGTTTTTATGGAAAACTATAAATCCAAATGGATATAAACATATGGATTTGTATAATAAACCTAATGAAAACACCTATGGTGCAGTGTCCTTAGCTTTTTTATATGCTAATCTATTTAATTCTCACAGCAGCCATTTGGGATGGAATCTATTATTACCTTTATTTTGAAAGTAAGGGAGCTAAGACACCTAGACAGTAAGAGTCAAAGCCAGACTCCGACAGCAGTGACACTGAATCTTCAATTGCTTGTTCAGCACTGTACGGGCATGGCTTGGTCCTTCTCTGTTTTGTTGACTTTATCTCTGAAGTGTTTTGTTATCAAAGGTTAGATCTCTTGGTATTTCAATTAAACAATTTCATTATGAAACATTTTACTAGCCCATTATGTTTTGAGGAAAACACTGTAAACACTTAACCTCCATTGTGGATAGCAGGCCCACCTTATGAAACTACTCGGAGTACTTTTTACCCATAGCAGTGTTCACAATGAAAAAATAGTTAGGCATAAACTTTAGTGGTACATGAGTAGTCCAGTTGTTGTACATATTTATAGCAATGGAAAACTCCCATATGGCAGAAGGAGTGTAGCGAATGAGGTTTTCCCTCATGCTCAGATATAATACAACGGATGAAGCTCGTCACTTCTACAGCCTGCATCGCCCTGTAGTCTACCCCCTATCTCTTCACATTTACTCTGATTGCCACTGTTAAGACTCTCAGCCTTTGATGAGAAGACACAGCCTCGGAGTCATCTGCTGTATGATATGAGGTCAGTGCAGGATATGCAGGGACAGGGAGAATAAAGCCAAAGGTGACAGTAAAGCGTGGAGCTCTGGGCACTAAGCTGTATTCGTTCATGGGTTGTCCTACATACATAACATAGAATCTAGTTTTTACAGATGCCTTCCCCGGCCCTTGAAATCAAGTTGCTGTCTCAACATCTCTCATAGCAATGTGGGGGAAAAAAAGCACTGGCCTTCCTCCATACTCCACCAACTCAACCTATAAAATGCCAATGCCAACCTAAGCACCCTAAAACATATTGTGTACAATACTTCACGATGTGCCTATGTTGTCTCCGTCACCTCTCCCTCTTGCCTTCCCTAGATACCCACATAAATAGCCTATATTTCCTGGCCATACATTGCTCTTTTCTGTCTTCATGTTTTGCCCAAGCTACTTCATATGGTGGAAATAGCCCCACTCCTGGTCATGGGAGTTAACTACTTATAATGGTTTGAGATTCAGCTCCAGCAGCACATCCTTCGTGTGGTCCTCTTAAACGCCAGAGACCTACCTTCCTTCCCAGATGTATTTCCCTACAAAAAACAGCTAGACTCATTCTGCTATGGGTTTCTACTCTACCCAAGGCACAGACACGCCCGGTCTAGCCATATCCTCATATGGTGACAGGGCAGCATACAGTTCTATTTCTATTTCCTTCTTGTTGAATACCAGTCAGCTTAGCCTTGTTTGTCATCGTAGCCTTGCTGCTTAGTACAGTCTTGCCTGGCATGCCTTTAATACTTAGTAAATGTCTAATAATATAGTTAAATCCTCTACCTAGTGTATTAAGACATATGTGTATATATATAGTGATGGCAGTATAAATAATATTGATAATCACATTCATTGATAAAAACATTTGACCATTGTGAATTTTGTGATAAAATTAAAATATTAACGAGTGATAAAGACGCACAGTAAAATTTTGAATGGCTATGCTTTGTTGGTTTAAATGCTTAAAATCACATTTTTAAAAAGGATCCTGTTTCTAACTTATGAACCAGATTGAAGCATGCTGTATTAGTCTTGTTTATTAGGTTTGTGTCAAGCAGAAAAATCTTCTCTTCTTAACTACAATGTTAGTAACACAATTACATTAAAGTTGCTCATTTTAGCTTTTGTTTTGTTTTGTTTTGTTTTGTTTTGTTTTTCTAAAGGAACAGTCAGCCACACGTGGAGTGAAAAGCATGGCCCTCTCTTTAACAGGATGACCGTTCTGCTCAGTGTGTCTGGGGCAGTTTCTTCTCCACACTGCCAGGTTCTCGTGAACTGTGATCTGCAGGTGTGTAGGGTGCACTAGTGAGCAAGAGGACACTAGGAAACACCAGTGCCAGCTGTATGCTGGGCAGGGAAGCTGGGCAGTGTTCTAATATTGAAAGGGCTATGGAAATGAGTGTTAATCAGAGCAGAGTGATGATTTATAGCCAATTTCCACCTTCCAATTAGGGTCCAATAAAAGAGATGGAATTTAGTAAAACACAATGGTGTACTGTTTCCTAGAGTAGAAATACCCACTCAGCCCAGTGCCCTACTATGGAGAGAGTACAACAAGCAGCAACCTGAGGGAAGCCCACAGGCTCGCAGGGCCACTGGCTGGCTCTTTGTCACCAAATGCAGCAGGTTGAAGGCAGACATCACTGTGATATCTTCAGCAACAAACCAGAGGCAAAACCAGGGGCAAAAGCTGAGTAGGAGAAAAAAAAGAAGAAAACAAGAAACAACGAATTAAAACATCACAAATGTTAGGCACATTCATCGAACAACTGATGGGTTTTGGTTTATAGAGCTAAGCACATGCACAATGGTAATAAGCTGCCAATGTCTCATTTTCAGACAGCAAGCTGACTTTCATTGTTATCGTCAATTCTCACAGTCTACTGAGGAGGCTGGCTTTATCCCCCTTTATTTGTGAGGAAAAGTGGAGGCTCAAAGAGCCAAGGACACAATATAGTTCGAAAGAGAGTGTGGCAGAGTCATATTCTGTCCTTATGCACACGGCCTGCATTAGATGCAGAAACTCATGCTTTAAGACAAAAAAACAAAAAACAAAAAACAAAACTTAAGGACAACTAAGAGACATCACTCCACAAACCGTCAAATTTGAATAAAGCATGAGGGAACATGTGCTTCCATTCAATTTTATGATTTGTACTTTCTAAATAAAATTCTGTGAGTATACTCATGACCCTGGAAAAAGGCAAACAATATTATACTAAAGTCTTTGGAAATAGAATTGTGTAGAAGAATCTCAAAGCTGTATGCTGTTAAGCTTCAGACAAATGATCAGCTCATAGAGTTTTCATAAGGGTCTCGTGCAGTGTTGCGATCGGTGAAGATTAACTTCAAATCAAAGGGGAGGATTCTCGGTGATTAGCAATTTCTGGTGTTTTGTTTAAAATTACCATATTAAGTAACTCTAACTGCCAAATGTCCAAAAATGGAATAAAATTAATGTCTTGCTCATTTCCTGACCTCGACCACCTCCATTCCCCACCCCAAAATAAAAGTCTTTTCCTGGACTCTTGTGACCCCCTTCAAGAGCAAACCCATAATAAACAGTAATGTATTTGACCAAATCGCTCTGGACTATATCTGACGGAAACCTGCTTGTATTAACATGCCTGAACTCTGACTTCCACAAACTAAACTCTCTCCAGAACTAAAACATTTCTGTGTTCCTAACTGGAGGCAAAGTGGAGGGAGAGGGAAGGTAAGAGTCACAAGGCACAGCCTGAGAGAACCGTTAGACATAAATAAACATGTCATTTTCACAAGTGACTGCAGAGCAGGGGAGAGAGCACATGCCTTTGGAACAGACTACTGGCTAATAAAAGATCAAAGGTCTATACCTCACAATGCCATAAATAAAAATGTAGGTTGTTTTTTTTTTTCCATGAGACCCCTTCCCCATGAGGGACAAGGTATGTGCGGTAAATGTAATTACTTAGCAAAGCTGCGGCCTCGTTGTGCTCCCACAGCTGACCATAAAATGTCTTCCTATTCTATTTCATCAACCGCTGTACCAGGCGGCCTGGGCGCCTATGGATCACTGTGGCCATCTGGCTTGTGTCAAAGCCCAGCACACAGGAAGAAAGGCAGTGACGTCACTCTGCAGGTCAGGCAAAGAACAAAGATGCCTTCTACAATTAAAAGCCAAGGACTGCAAGCACCAGGGGCTCAATGTGGCTGCAATTTAATAGCCCTCCTTGCTGCCTTTTTCCTACCCAAATAGCCAGAGCTCCATCTAGTGGCAAATTGGTTTTGCCCAGTTTGGGTTTGGTTTTTTTTTTTTTTTTTCAAGTTGACCCTGGAAGGGCTACATCAGCACCAACACAGCAAAGCAACTGACAGAGCCACCTGGCCTTCCCATTATGAAGAATGAAGAACTGCAACCTGTCATGGTATGACCCACTTGCAAATCTCACCAATAACGATTTTATAGGTTGGAAACTGGTGTGACCCTAATTGCATTAATGTCCACAGGAATGTTAGAAATGCAGACAAACTCACAGCATGCTTGCCATCAGTATAGCATCTGAGAATGTGTCTCTGAGCTGTAGATTGATAGGCCATGCTGAAGAAAGCCACCTGCAGCTCAAACCCACAACCCCTGCCTCCATCGAACAAAAGAACCCCAGGAAAAGCGCCTCTGGTGTATGAAGTCAGAAATGAGTTTTCTCTAGAGCACAGCACCAATCTTTTTGTGCTGAAATTTTGGGGAACTAGGGTGAGTGTTTCTACACTTGCAGTGAATGAAATGAACACTGGCAGCAGATACAAAATATATAATCCACTTTCAGAAAGATGCCTATCATTACCACTGTAAGGAGCAGGACTGCCTGGCTGGGGCCCTGGCAGCACCTGTAACTACCTGTATGATCTTGGGTAAACCACTTATATTCTCAGCATCTTGGTTTCCTCAACTCTAGAATAACCACTAAATAAATTAATTAGTTAAAATACCTCCAGCAATGCCTGGTATGTGGTATATGTTCAGAAAAAGCTAATATTATTTAAACCTGTCAAATCATTGCCATGTGTAATCTTGTATGAGTGAGAAAAATGTCTTGGAAACGAAGTTTTTCATCAGTACATTCTGATCCTGGTTTCTCCTCCCAGATCCTCCCTACCTCCCCAGCCATTCAACTCCATGCCTTCTTTTTCTCTTTCTCACCCCATCCTTTAGTCCTGCGGATCACTGCTGATAATTTCCCCCAAACAAGTCCATTGTTTCCTATCACCCTCCAGATCTTGACTGCCAGTCTGCTACCACTCCCAACATCTACTGGTCATAGCTCAGCCTTTCTGATACTGCTGGAGCGCCTGCCATATTCACCTCTTCTGTAACAAGTCTGGGGACACTTGTCTGTTCTCATCCTCTCCCCTTCTACAACAAGCAGCTCCCAAGGCCGGGGAGAGAAGCCTTTCCATTTTCACATCCCACTACCCCACACATGACAACCACCATTCGTTCACTGACTGAGCAGAAGACTGGATGTAAATGACTGACCTATGAGACTGGTTGTTCAGGGCCCTCATTTCCAACATTGTCGCTACCAGTTCCCTTTCCGATGGTGCTTAAAGGAATTCAAATCTGTTACATGTGGATGATTGCAAGCAGTTCCTCTGAGAGAGGTGATGTTGGGAGACTCTTCACTTAAAATTCAAAGATAATTCCAATGCTCTATGTTTGTCAAAAGTTCTGCCTCCCTATGTCCCTACTACCTCAGACTCTAATATCCAAATCCTGACTAAAGTCAGCTTGCTAGTGCCTTGGGTGTGGGTCCTCCCTGATTTCTCTTTTTCCTTTTTGCCCCCAAGTTGAACAAGGTACTATACCAAAGAAAGGTCACTACCAAGGGATCCAGAGAACTCACCAAGTTGATAATTAGTTCCAGATAGAGCTGACTGTACCAGTGGACTTAAAAGCCATCAACCCCAAAGGTCAGAGCCCTCTCCAACAAATGCAAAGAAATGTACACATCAGTGGTTCTCGTCAGCTAGTAAAACGCCCTCCCCAAAACTATACAAGCCAAGAGAATTGACAAATGTGAAAGTTGCCAATGACAATTTTTGAAAAACATTAACATTCCAATTTCATCGGGATCTCAAGAAAGAAGAGGTATGCTAACAGCAAGAACCAAGAAGGCAATCCTAGAACAAGAACCACCTGTGACCAAAGAGGCTCAGATGAGGGGAGCAGTTTCGAGTCACTACTGTCCCCATTTCATGCAAAAGAAACTTCAACATGGTCAGCACCTTAGACTCTCTCATTAAAATGTCTGCTATAAAATTCTATTAAAAACATGGTTCTCATCAGCGCGAGTCTGACACATATTTTACTTGCTGAGTGAATGGATAGCTCCTTTAGGGGCTGCTTGAAGTCAACAGCCAGATGGGGAGTGATGAGTACCAACTCTGGTAACCAGAGATGGTTCTGTGATCACACAGAAGGCTGGGTCTTAAGAATCCACTCTTTCAAATCATTTTCAAAGTAAATGATCTTAAGACACCATTGTGGAATATTATTTTAAGGTGTTACGTTTGTTTATGCTGTGAAACATTTGTTTCAATGATGCAAAGATGGGTTGCATTTGTTTAACTCTGTGAAGCTGTGTTGCTTTGCCAGTCTAAAACACCTGATGGGTCTAATAAAGAGCCAAATGGTCAATAGCAAGGCAGGAGAAAGGATAGGAGGGGCTGGCAGGCAGAGAGAATAAATAGGACAAGAAATCTGGGAAGAGATCAAGGAGTGAGAAAAGGAGGAGAGAAGGACTCCAGGGGCCAGCCACCCAGCTACAGAGCAAGCCACAAAGTAAGAAGTAAAGAAAGGTATACAGACGTAGAGAAAGGTAAAAGCCCAGAGGCAAAAGATGGACAGGATAATTAAGAAAAGCTGGCTAGAAAAAAAGCCAAGCTAAGGCCAGATATTCATAAGAAAGAATAAGACTCTATGTCATTTATTTGGGACCTGGGTGGCAGGCCCCCCAAAAGAGCTAAGAGTAAAAAATAGAAAAAAAAAACTGTTTTAGGGAACTGGACTTTCTTTTCCTCTACTTCCTGGCTCACCATGCCATGAACTGAGCTGTTTCCCATGCCTTCCCCACCAGGATGGACTGAAGTCTTTGAAACTGTGAGCCAAAATAAATCTGACTTTTTTTAACACAAAGGAAGGAGGGAGGAAGGGAGGGACAGGAAGAGACATAGAATTTTAAGTTACTCAGTTCTCCTCAAACACTCTTACTGCATGGGAAACAATTTATCAGCTGCAGAGTAAGATGCAAAGACACAAAGCTACAGTCTGTGCTCTCAAATTTGTTGGCCTAAGTGGGAATATAAAATGTGGCCAAACTCCTTGCTCTCTCTGGAGGGCAACTCCCAGCTTTAGAAGGCAGAATGACTGGTAAATAATGGGATTTGGAACAATTACAAAGAGGTGTAAAGGAGAACTCCACTTTCATTTTCATATCTCTATTTCCACACATTCTTGAATTTTTTTTAAATCTCAGAATCCTTTACACTCTGAAGAATCCTCAAGAAGTTCAAATATCTTTGTTTATGTAGCTGTATCTATCAATACTTACTACAATAGAAATTATGAGTGAACAAATTTAAAGTATTGGCTACAATGAAATGATAATAAATTAAAAATAACTTGCAAAATTACTATTTTACTTTTTAATT